CTCAACTTTAGTTAATTAAAATAATCATACCTTAATCTACCCATGACATTTTTAGCTTGTCATCCTCCATTAGAATATCTTTAACTTGATCTTAATTAAAATATTTTTAATTTAATATTGGCCATATCATTTCAACAGTCTTAACATTTATCAAATTATCTTCTCCTTGACTTCGGCCTCAACCAAAAAATATTTTTGCTTTGACCTTGACATTGGATTAAATTAAAAGAAAAATTTTTGTTTTTTTATTTTTAAAATTGATTCTAAGCTATAACCAAATTTTTAAAAAGAAAAGATAGTAATTTTGGAAAGATGAAAAATAAAAAAATATATATATTTCAAATTTTAAAATAAAAAAATTTATTTACAGAGATAAAAAACAAAACTCATTTTATTTTGTAGTATTTAACAATATGTTTAAGTTTGCTTTTTAAATAATACTTGAAACATTGTTTAGTTCTTCACGAGTATTTAATGATATTTAACAAAAAATAAATGTTATGTTTTAAAAAAAAAACTCACAAATATAACATCAAACACATTTTGTTTTTATTTTAACTTGGAATTCATTTTTTAGTCAATCTTATTAAGGATACAGTCAAGCACCAAATATAAATATATATTTCTTAAAAAAAATTTAAAGGAATGATCCTTAAAAAATAAAAGATAGAGGAGAGAAGGAACTAGATAATAAAACTCATCCTATCATTAACTTTTATCTCAAGTCATCAAGAACATAATTAAAGTATAATTTAAGCCAACCTACTTGTATTAATGAGATATTATTTAAGAAACAAATAATTTGAGTTCTATAATATATCTTTGACGTATTTTTGAACAATTCTTCTTGATCTTCTATAATGATAGGATGTTAAGGAAAAAATTGATACATATGATTCGGGAGTCATGATCACCCCGTCTTTTATAATAATCAAGTATTATTTTTTTTATTCGTTCATGGAGTATCCATCGCCGATAGCAGTGACTAATCTCCTCGTTACGTTGGAGGCACCTCTAAAAGTGGGACAACTGACTCCAAGATTTAACGCAGTTGCATACACAAGGCATGATTCGAACCCCTAACCTTGCTTAAACATACAAATATCATGATTATGATACTTGTATGTTTAATTATAACCTTATAGTCATTTATGAACTACAACTATATTACATATTTCTTATTTCTATTTTATTTATCAAAATAATAAAAATAAAATTTATGAAATCTAGTCCATACCAATTGAAATGTTATAAATCTTAATAAATTTATTCTTATAAAACTATTTTAATAAAATCAAAATATTATATATAACATATAATATATAATTTAATATTTTTTTTATGTTTATATATATGATTTATATAATGGTCTAAAATTTATAACTAATGGTGCATTCATGAGATATAATTTTTATTAATCAAACATTAACAAAATTTGAATTTGAATGTATTATATATCCTAGGGCAAGTTTATAATCCCTAAGACAAGATTTTTAATTATTTAATATTATACATAAAGCTTTTTTTATATAAGTTGAAAATGTTTTTGAGAATTTTTTTATTAAAAAAAATATTTTTCTGTGGAATTTTTTTTTTAAAAAAATATTTATAAACTTAATAGAAATATTTTTCAATAAAAATTCTAAAAAAACATTTCTAAACTTATAATTTTTAATAAAAATTAAAAGTATAATGTGAATTGAATCACATGTTAAAAACATCTAATACTTAAGTCCTCCTTCATCTAGACCTAACTTTTGATAAACATATTTTGTTTTTGTGTGTGTGCGCCAATTTATGGATAGCAACATTGTACTGTATTTTATTGTAAGGTTGGTAGCTAATGTGAGAGAGAAAAGGAAGTAATTGTCTTCATTTACATATTGCCTTTCTTACAGCTGTCCCCGATCACAACGTGAAGCGCGTTTCAACTTTCAAGGACTAGCCTGAGCCTCTCCCACTAACTTGTTTTCCACTTCTAAGCTCTGACACACGTTCCAAACAACACTTATACACATTATTCATTATTGTTCTATAATGTATAGCTTAGACTTGTTAGTTAAAAGTATAAATTAAAATACACGATCAAAATTAAGATTATAGAGCGCGTGCATAATCAAATAGATAATTATGTTTAATATATAAGTTATATTATAGTTAATATTTATCATACATATATTTAAATATAAAAATTATATTTTAAATTTATAATAAGCTATTTAAATTGTGATTGATGCTAATTTTATACTTATAAATTTCTTTTACCAAATGACATATGCTTTATGAATAAAAATAAAAATGATGGTCAAAATATTATTCTTATTCATTATAAAGATAGTGTATAATTAGGTGGGAAAGGGTTGAAGTCGTTAGAAGCATGTTCTCATTTTTTAAATTAATATTCTAATTTATAATAAAAATATACTTTAATATTTTTTGCCATATTACTTAGATCATCAAGTAGTACAAAATTATTTTAGTTTAACAAGTCATTTTGAATTATGTATAATTGTATTAAAAAAATTGTTGCTTTTAACTCAAATAAGATTATCCTTCATTAAAATATATGTAATTTGTATATTAAAAAATCTTATTACATGGGCAAAAAAAAAATCATGGAGGGGAAAGATTTATAATATAGTTTCAGTTGAATTAACTTTGTTCATTGTTAGACAAAAAAAAAAAAACTTTGTTCATTGATTTTGAAATCTAAGACAATAATAGTGAGAGAGAGCAAGTATTTCCTCTTTGTGAAACAAAGATTTTATCAGTATTCTTTATGTTGGCGGTACTTGAAAAACAAGGTATTGTAACAAATTTGAGAAGGACATTATTATGTTATTTGTCTCTAATTCTCTATGATACTACCTGAGCTGAGTAGCATGAACCGTATTGATATAGAATTATTTATACTCATAGGCCAATCATTGCTAAATTTCATAATAGTATGACAGTACAATTTATTTTTAAAAGCTTTTCTTGAGGGACTCATCATATTTCTCTGAAACCTCATCAATGTTACAGGATTTGGATCATCTGCTGTTCATAAGTAACAGCACGGTCATGCAGTTTAAAATCTGATGGTGCAGAAATTTTTTAACTCATAATTTATTTTATAATTTAATATAAAAAATTTATTTATAACAATAAATAAAGATAATATAATATTTTTGTGTACATATTTTTAAAATATTTTTATACTTTATTTATCTTAATAACTACACATTCTCTTATTTTAGTATAGAATAATTCAATAATTTTATTTTATTAATTTTAAAAAAGTTATTATTTACTAATAACAATTTTTTCTATAATAAACTATAATTCAACTGCAATTTTATAACTTTTCTCACGAACAACAATATTTATAGGCATAGAGTGTCTTTATTTTACTATTTTTTAATGATAGGTATTCTTGCAGTTGAAAACTCAACTACAGAGAACCCTAATCCAATGTTACATAATGAGCACTTCAGTATATTTTCAAAAATACTATAAAAAGCAATTGGTAAATCCAATAAACCTTAGATTGCTAGTACTCCCTAAATCAATAAATACATTAAAAAAATAAAACAAAAGTATATTATTAACATACTTTTTTAAAAGCATTATTAACATACTTAAAAATAATCACATTTATTTATTTTTATTTTTTATCAATCGGTGCTTTGAAATTTAAATTGTGAATGTTACTTTTTATCATGTTTAATAAATGTGTATTATCAGTTTTTTTTAATATTTTTTTTATTTATTTTTTTACATTATCAAGTAATTAGAATTTATATCACTTTTAAAAGTAATTATTGAAGAAACTAACAAAACTTATCATGTATAACAGTAATTCGACGTCTGTAATGTATATGATATATTTTTATTTTATATATAAAATATAATAGATAAATAATATTTGTATATAAAAATGAGAATGATAAATTAAAAGAGATAAGAAGTTAAAAAAATTCATAAAAATGCTATGATTAAAACAATTAAAAATATTTTTATTCAAGAGAATTATTTTATAGAGATATAAAACAAATATTATTGAAAAATTATTTTAGAATAATATTAAATTTATTTTTTTAAATGAAAAGTATATAGAGATATAAAACAAATATTATTGATAATTCATTTAAAGATAAGATTTTATTCAATAACAACTTTTTTAAATTTTTTTAACCTTACATCTCTTATAATTTATTTTTTAATTATAATCTTATATATAATTTCAATATTTTTAAGTACTAATTAAAAATAATTTATATTACAATATAATTTGTTCATTATATTTTATACTTGTATAAACCAAATATTTATCCTGTGTAATGCAGCTAAAATATTAGTTTATGATAAACTCTTAAATATTTGAATGGAAAATGAGTATTTTGAATATTTTAAACTAAAAAGATAAACAAAGAAACTAATAAGGAAACGTAATTGATTAAAAAACCAAAATATAAATAACAAATAATTCAAATAAAGGAGACTAAAACACACTTAAATAAGACCAGATCTAATACCCTCTTTTTTCAAATTAGAAATTTAAGTCTTCATCGCTTTTTCTTAAGAGAGTCTTCATTTATTTTCTTAAAGTGATAAATATTGTCATTTTTAAATATCTTGGGTTTGAATTTGATTTTCTCCCATAAATGAAAGACCAACTCTTGGCCCTAAACAAATTGATTACTTTTCATAATAAAACAGTGCATTAACTCACAGATAAAATAGAAAAACCCAAAAATAAATAATTGGAGTATTCATTAACTGCAGTGACCGTTAGACACAAAATTCCAAACGTGTGGATGCTCGGGGAATGGATCTTTAATCCGTATGGACGGTTTCTCAAACACAGTCATTAAGACATTAACGTGAGTGGGTAGAGGTGGTTTATCCACACTCTGCACGTGCCTGCGCGGCGTTTGCCTCTCACACGCTCACACCTTCGCATTGATAAATACCACAAAGTCCCTCTTCCTCTCATCTGTTTCCACCACCATCACGTGGCCGAAAGAAAAAGCAGGGACACAATCGTCATTTAACCTTCCCACCTCCCACCGCTGCGAGGGTGAGAACATAAAAAGTCAAATTAAAAAAATTGATAACAAAGAAACAAATAGAAACATGGAAGAAAATAGAAACAGATCGGATTTACGCGCCCGCTGGTCCATTCTCAACTACGATGCGTGTTAGCTTCAGACTCTGAAGAGAAAGAGAGAGAGAGAGAGAGAGAGAGAGTGAACCGACGAAGACTCTCTCTCTCACTCGCATTGTTTCTGTTTCAGATCGTGAAGTCGTTTCAGATTCTCACTGTTCTATTCCATTCCCTTACGGAGTACGCTTTTCTTTTTTCTTCTTCTTCTTCTTCTCGGTTACTATTCTATATATGTGTGTATGTGTTTTTTTTTTTTTTTCCTTTTTTTTTTCTTCTATATTTTTGATTTATTTACAAAATCTGATAGTTAATGCTACGTTGTGGCTTGTGCCGGCTTTATGAAGAAGAATATACTTGCTAAGCTCCAAAAGATCCCCTCGTGTTGTGAACCTTGATTTTGTGTATCAACTAGGCATTTGTTTTAGAGAAGCAGCGATGATCAATTGTTTATGTTTTTCAGTTCATATCCGATTTTTGAATTGTGATCAAGGAAAAAAACTGTTCCTAAACTTAGCGGAGGTTGCAGATTCATAAATAAACCACGTTGTGCTGTGAGTTATTTATTAGGTTATTATCGGTGTTACAGTGTGGCGAAAAGGACATGGGAGTTGAGAGGTGAAAATCCCTTGGTTTGGACTCCTTGTCAAGAAATAATATCTAGGAGAACGAGTGAGTGTATCTGTGTGTTGCTTTTGTTAATTGAATATAAGTAAAAATAAAGAGGAGGGTGAAAATTGAAAAGGATGGTCCTGTTTGTTGGGGACCAGTGTTTTGATGTGCTGTGTTGTGCTGTGCATAACTACCAATTCATGGTCAATTTCATATTTATTATTATGTAAAACTCTGTTACTTTGATCTCAAGCGTTATAGGGGGGTCGCTGCTGTTGAAAGTTTTCTATTCTTACATTACAATTGGCCATTGTTGAAGGAAGGATTAAAAAAGGGAACAACGCTTTTTATGCTTTGGCCCCAGCTAGCCCTTTTTTTAATTTAATTTTTCTTTTCCCTCGCTCCTTCTTCTTTATTCTTCTCTCCATATGAAGCTTGGTACCAAAGAATATAAGTAAAAGACCGGTATGTCCTTTTATTGGACTAAACCCATGATTGATCATGTCTCTCTCTTTAAACAGAAGTCTTTTAGGTCGTGATATTTTGCCAACCGCTGATAGTTTATTGATGATAAAAGCGTAATTAGTTAGCATTCTGTGTTGTCTCGGTCTTTCTTTCGTTGGTTGGATATAATCTAAAGTTAGCTCGCTTATGCTGTAATTGCCTATTTATTTATCAACCGAAATTAATGGGTTGCTATCTTCTGAGTTTGGTCATTTCATGATTATGCATTATGATTATCTTCTTTCATGTGGTTAATGGCTTAATAATTTTTTTCTTTTTTGTAAACTCCCAGTTCTTTTCTTTTAAACGCTTGCATTTTGGGAAATGAAGAATAACTTTAATAATTAGCCACCCCACTTTCCTCTTTTAGGAGTCATGAGCTTCTTCTGAGTTCAGATTAGCTTGTTAATTGGGTTGGAGAAAACCTTGAGGTTTACGGAGAAATGGGAGCTATTGCTGGAGAAGAGCTGCTGAAATGGGAGAAGATGCAAGGAGTGAGTGGACGCGAAGAGAAGATCCTTGTGTCAATAAGGTTGAGGCCTCTGAATGAGAAGGAAATTGCTGCTAATGAATCGGCAGATTGGGAATGCATTAATGATACTACCATTCTGTACCGGAACACACTGCGTGAGGGTTCCACATTTCCAAGTGCCTACACATTTGGTAAGCAAATGCCTGGTTTTGATCTTAATGTTGCTTTATTATTTGTGAAATTTGTATTGCCAGTGAAACTGAATAATCCAGTTTCAGGTTTATACCTGATGGCTGATATTAACAAGTATCGGGGACTTAACGTAGGCATTGGGCTAGATTTGGCAAATGAAGAATAACTTTAATAATTAGCCTGTAGGGATCATTTTCCCTTACATGAAAAATGACACTTAGTTATTTGTTTATTTTTTATTTCGAATAGTTTCACTTTTTTCCTAATTTACGTGGCCTAACTTTATTAAAATAGTTAATGTTGATGCAAACATTAAGAGGATTTTTACCTGCCTGTTTAGGGTTTAACTTGATAAGGTGTCAATCCCTGTTTTTTTTCCCCATAACTTTTATTTTTAAACATACCTTTATTACGCTTAAAAATGCATCTTGTATAGTTTTGTTGAATGATAGTGTTTCTAAGATTTTTTTTTAATAATATATTTTAAACAAAGACATTGAACTGGAGATCCATTTATTATGAGCAGTGTTTCTAAATTCTTGTTGTCATTGATGGTAGACAGAGTATTTCGGGGTGATTGTGTCACACGGCAGGTATATGAGGAAGGAGCCAAAGAAGTTGCTCTTTCAGTTGTCAGTGGAATTAACTGTGAGTATATGTTGTTATGCTGGCTAGTTTCTATTACACATTGCCCAGTTTGATTAATTTAGGTGTCTATATATTCTTTCAGCAAGTATCTTTGCATATGGGCAAACAAGTAGTGGAAAGACATACACGATGGTTGGAATAACCGAATATGCAGTTGCAGATATTTTTGACTACATAAAGATGGTAAGTAAACTACTATAATATTGATATATGCCTGTTTAACTCTTGGATATCATTCTCCACCGGTGCTCTTTTTTATAAGATCATTAGTAAGTGCTATTGACACAAGTGTATTTTGACCATTTTAGCATGAAGAAAGAGCATTTATATTGAAGTTCTCAGCAATTGAAATCTACAATGAAATTGTTAGAGACCTCCTCAGCACTGACAACACTCCACTTAGGCTCCGTGATGATCCTGAGGTGACTGCTTTTTATATATATCGGAAAGGAGTTTATAGACAAGATCGAATAATTAACTTTTGTTTTATGATTCATTATTTTCATCAGAAAGGGCCCATTTTAGAGAAACTCACTGAGGAGACTCTACGGGACTGGGGGCATTTAAAAGAGCTTATAGCCTTCAGTGAAGGTAAAGGACTTTGCATAGTATACTTGTTATTCCTTAGTCAGTAGTCGGTACCATTATATTGCTTGCTTTTTATTCTTGCAGCTCAGAGACAGGTGGGAGAGACATATCTAAATGAAAAGAGTTCAAGATCTCACCAAATTATCAGATTGGTATGTGCCTTCCCCGTGTATGCTAAAGTTATCGTGCTTTATAATATTTACTGATAGACTTCCATTAATGGAGTTGTAACCTTTCAGACAATGGAAAGTTCTGCCAGGGAATTCCTGGGCAAAGGCAACTCAGCCACCCTAGTTGCTAGTGTGGTATGTTTACATTTATTTAAAATTTCCCTCCTGTTCTGGGCTTAAAATGTTTATCAAAGATTTTATAATTATTTAATTTGTTTTTGTTTTGTTGCAGAATTTTGTTGATTTGGCAGGGAGCGAGCGCGCATCTCAGGCATCATCAGCTGGGATGAGATTAAAAGAAGGTTGTCATATAAACCGGAGTTTACTTACTCTTGGAACAGTTATTCGTAAGCTTAGGTTGTCTACTCCTTCCTTAGCTTATGATGTTTTCCTTGTATATGTAGTTTCTAATATAGTTAGAAAATCTACATCCATGTTAATTTCAGTGCTTCCCATGTCACTTACTTTTACTATTGCTTAATAATATTATTCTAGTTTTTCTTTATGCGCTTGCTGCCCTGGCTATGAGGTTGCTTGGTTTTCTACATTCATGAAACTGACTAGCAAAATACTTCCATCTTTTTGCACTGCAGGACTGACACTATTATAAATATCATAGGCTAATAGCAGTAGGATAACATTTCTAGATATAAAGTATTAGGGTAACCTCTTTGGTTAATTTATATGAAACTATGTTGTTAGAGAACTGAAATCTAGTTAATGTGCTGTTTATTTCACCCATCATCGAGAAATTGTGAGAGAAAGGAAGACAGGTTATTATGTACCTGGTGGCTATTTGGAGGTATCTTTACGTTAGAAATCTTCTGTATGTTCAAAATTTTAATGCAGGAGCTACTCTATAACAGTTCATATATAAAACTTGGAAGCTCCCCAGTGCTGCCGTCGAAATCTTTTAGATGATGCTCTTGAAACTCCCTTCTCAATGTCTAGTTTCTGTTGATTCTTTCTTCTAACACAATCAAAATAGAAAAATAGAAAAAGCTTGAAGTTCCATTGACATATAATGTGAATGAATGCAGTAAGGGAAGACATGGACACATCAATTACAGAGATTCCAAGTTGACACGCATACTGCAGCCTTGCTTGGGTGGAAATGCTAGAACAGCTATCATTTGCACTTTGAGCCCTGCACGAAGCCATGTTGAGCAAACCAGAAATACACTTCTTTTTGCTTGTTGTGCAAAAGAAGTCACCACTAAAGCACAAGTGAATGTCGTGATGTCTGATAAGGCTTTGGTCAAGCATTTGCAAAAAGAGGTGGCTAGATTGGAGAGTGAGTTAAGAACTCCTGGTCCTGCTACCTCCAGTTGTGATTATGCATCATTGTTGAGAAAGAAAGATCTCCAGATAGAAAAGGTCGTATACTTGACTGTTTGAATTCTTATTCTATTATGTTTCTATTGATTGTGGACATGTCTATGTATGAAATTTCAAAGATATTTAGAACAATTTTGTGCACTGGGTACTGTGTTTGTGAACAATGCTGATTGCTGCCCTTGTGAAATTATGTATCTTAATATCTTAACTCCATGGATGTTGATAACACAAATTTCAATTTTTCAGATGGAGAAGGAGATTAGGGAGATAACAAAGCAACGTGACCTTGCTGAATCAAGGGTTGAGGATTTGCTGCGCTTGGTTGGAAAGGAGCAGATGTCTGGAAAAGTAGTTTCTATTTCATAATTACAGATATTCTATTAAATATTTGAGGATATGCCTTTAAGTTGGGATTTCCCCTATTTTTTGTTCAGGCTAGCATTAATAATTATCTTAACCTGCAGGAAGGGGAAGATATCTGGGAAGATGACTGTTCAGTATCGGAGTCCTCGAGCATTTGTGGTCCACATCGTCCAGAAACACACATTAGAGAGTTCAACAATCCTCATTATAATGAAGATAGTGGAAGTAATCTTGATGGTAGGTCCTTGTATATCTATGCCTGTATAGTATGATTAAAATGATGATATTCTTCTGTGGAATGGTACAGCGTCAGATCTGATCAATATAAATTTCTTAACTTTTGCTTGTACAGAAGAACCTGATGATTACTGCAAAGAAGTTCGATGTGTTGACAATGGGGACTTAGCTTTGTCGATGTCTGGAGAGGAAAGTGGAATAAGCCAGGAAATATCTACACATTTGAATGAAGATACTGGAGATAGTCAGATCCAAGAAAATTCAACATTGCTGGAGCAGAGACTGCATGATGTACAGTCAACTATTGATTCTCTAGTATGTCCTTCCCCTGATGAACAATCTCCAGAGGTCACGTCAGAAAATATGTCGAATTATAAGAATCTTAAATTAACTAGAAGCTGGAGTTGTACGGAATATCGCATGACTGGTTCTCCTGAGAGAGTAGGAGAAATACAGAGGACTCCAGCTAATGGATATGAACAAGGATTCCCTGGAAGGCCAGATAGTTTCCGGAGAAAGTTTCTTCCATTAAATTATGATGGTTCCACAAGATTGTCAAGGAATGGTTCTCAGTCTTCCATTGGAAGTCCTTCTGTGGATAGAGCCAGCAGCATAAGAACATCTGCTGATGAGGATATTACTAGCATCCAGACTTTTGTTGCTGGGATGAAAGAAATGGTCAAACAAGAATATGAGAAGCAGCTTGTGGATGGTCAGGTAAGAATAAATCATTTCAGCTGTTTCGTGATCCTTAAAAGTTCAATTAAAAATTGGCGATCTTTTAATTTTCTTTTTCATAAGTAACGGAAATTGTTCCTATGCTATTTATGCAATATTGGTAACCAATCACATCATACGGTGAATTGAGTTTTATCTATATAAATATGACTATTGTAGTACTGTTGGTAAACTTTATGAATTTCTGTTATTTATTCTTATCTGTCATTTATATCAAGAAGTTCTTTCCTTCTACTTGCAAATGCAAATGGTGGGAGAAACTCCAACTTCTACTGTAACAAGACTTTTATCGATATTGACACATGTAGCATACATGATAATTAATTGGCAATTATATTTATATGCTGTAACTTAAGTTATATGTGCTACTATTCATAATTTCATACAACGTTCCAATTTGCTACTAATCTTGATGCTTGATGATGCTTTTGAATAAATTATTCTTTTCTGAATTGTAGGATCAGGAGACAGGAAGAAAGAGGAACGTGAAAGATGTAGGTGTGGATCCGATGTTGGAGGCACCTGGAACTCCTTTAGATTGGTCTCTGCAGTTCAAGAGACAGCAAAAAGAGATAATTGAACTGTGGAAATCTTGCTCTGTACCATTGACCCACAGGACCTACTTCTTTCTTTTGTTCAGGGGTGACCCAACAGACTCCATTTACATGGAGGTAGAACTCAGAAGACTATCCTTTCTCAAAGAATCATTTTCTGATGGAAACCAATCTGTGAAAGATGGTCAAACAATCACACTAGCTTCAAGGTTCTCTCTTTCTTTCACTGCTGCGTTTATTTTTGAGTATCTCTGTATATAATATATATTTGGAATCCAAGTGGCGGGCATTTCCCAATACGGCCAATGAAAATTTTCTGCGGAGAACCTCGTGATGATGAATCTACGTTGAGAATTAGATCATGACTATTTTTCGTCATGGCAATGCTAATATATATCATAGGCAGTCTCGAGTGTAGGAGGTTTGATATAGTTAGTATTTACAAATGAAGGCTCATCATACCCTACAAAAAACTATTTCAAGTTCTATCGATTTGATTCACCTAGCTCTGCATTATCGTACGTTGGCTTTTCCTTGCACCATGGTGGTTAACTTGTATATTTCATGTTGACACATGTTTGCTCGTGGATAAAGTGTGAAAGCTCTTCGCCGAGAAAGAGGAATGCTTGTGAAGCTTATGCAGAGGAGGCTTTCGGAGAAGGAGAGAAAAAGGCTGTACGAGGAGTGGGACATTCCATTGGATTCAAAGCGCAGGAGGATGCAACTAGCGAGCCGTTTATGGAGCGACACTGATATGAACCACGTAATGCAAAGTGCCACAATAGTTGCAAAGTTAGTCAGGTTTTGGGAGCGGGGCAAGGCCCTGAAGGAGATGTTTGGGCTTAGCTTCACACCCCAACTCACTGGGCGGAGATCTTACTCGTGGATAAATAGCTGAGCATCTCATTTGTAATCGTTTTATTTTTTGGCCCCCATGTGTACAGCGTTAGAGAAATTTTACCAGAGATGTATGAGTTCATGATTAAGCCAATTTGGGCGATGTCTTGTCTTTTATGGTTTTGGTGTATCATTTAACGAATTGACATTTTTCTTCTTTTCTTTACTTTAATTTCTTGGTGCAAGGTTTGTTGTGTTGCTTGTTTCATTGTAAAATACTTGAATCTCTCCCTCACTTTGGACCAAGTCTATATACTTTTGTATATTACACCGAGACGATCGAGTTGTGTCATGAGGTAGAGTAGGTCAGTATATATTATTTTAGATCAACGGTTATGGACTCGTTCGTGTTTCTAGTTTCTCTGGTTATAAAAGACTTACTGTTAAACTATTTTGATTATATTTCTATCATTTCGAGTTTCGACCTGCACCAAGCCTAATATTCTTATTTCTGGTATAGCTAATAATTGGTATCACGGTTTAAAGCAATTTTAGAGTGTATTTGGAAGAAAAATTTTAAATGAAGTAATTATTATTTTTTTTTTAAAAAATTTCAAATGTCTTAAAGATAAAATGTTTTATTTGAAGTAGAGGGACCGAGGTACTTCGTATTCTAATAGTTACACACAAAAAATATTATAAATTATATAGTTATTTAAAAAAAATATAATATTTTTTTTTTATATTCAAGAGGTATAATTATCCATTTAAAAATGGAGACCAAAGAGGTGGTTACTAAAATATATCCCTTTTATAATATGTATAGATGAAGAATTTAAAGTTTAAATATTTTTTAAATTCTTTAAAATAGTAAAAAATTTCTTCTACTTTCCTCTTCTCTCTTTTAAAGTCAACATAAAATTATCGTTTCTTTTAAATTAATTAAATATTTAAAAATTGGCTAATATTTAATTTTATAGAATTAAATATTAATATATATATATATATATATATATATATATATTAGTTTAAAATTAATTTTATCTATGATGGAAATTTAACTACCAATTGGTACTAAGAATTTTTAAGTTAAAAAATTTGAACTGATTTATTCAAATAAAATATTTAAAAAATGATAGAAATTCAAATGAAGGCAAATTTTAAGAATTTCATGTTTCTTAAATTTTTTAAATACTCCATCCAAACACACTGTTAAGTTTTTAAGTTTTAATTTATTGGATTAAATAAATATTTGAAGTCTTAGACTTTTTTATGTATACAATGTGAATAACTCAAAGATGTTTTCATTGAAATTATTTGATTTTTATAATATGTTTATGGACACATTAAGGAACATTCTTAATATATTTTATTGAAGGTGTTTTAATTATTTAAAAAATATTAAAAAAATTTCATGTTTTAAATATAATAAATACATTCTAATAAAAAAAAGATATTTTTTAATTAATATTTATAAGCAAAAATTTGGGTTTTTTTTAATATAATTTGTGTATGTTTCGAAGGGCTTTAATGGATGGGAATGATTCATAAATATTACATTTTTGTCACCCTTGTTTTATTGGTTTGATTGGAAAGTGAACTAAAAATTAAACATCTTATAAGGAATTTAGTAAATGTTTGAAAAAAAAATACTAAATCTAATTTCTTTCATTTTGCTCAAATGGAGGTGAGGAGGGCGACGATTGGGGCGGCTAAACCAATGGGATCACAAGAGAGTTGCAACTTGACTGAGTTCAGGAGATACCATGCCCCTCGATTTAAGGGAGATACAAATTTGAAGGTGGATGATCACTGAATCTGTGACATGGAGAAGATATTTAGGGTGATGGGGTATCATGATGAGAGGAAGTTGACTTATGTGGTATATATGCTAATAGGGGAAGCATAGTGCTGGTGGAGGAGTATTTAACAAATGTTGGAAACTCGAGGAGTAGTGGTGAACTAAGAGTACTTCAAGTAGGTGTTCTTCAAGAAGTACTTCCATGATAGTGTGAGAAACACTAAGAAGGTGGAGTTTAGATTGCATCAAGGGAATATGACAATTTTTGAGTATGCGATGGGGTTTGAACACCTAACTCATTTCTACTCATAGGCTATTTCTAAGGCTTGAAGATATAGAAAGTTTGTAGAGGGACTGAGGCATAAGCTGAAAAAGTGGTGGTGCCTATGGTCATTATAGAATTTTCGACCTTTGTGGAGAAGGTGAAGATTGTTAAAAGGCTTGAGTGTGGAGGCCGAGTTGGGAAGAGTCAAGAGGGGCCATCTAGGTCAAGAGAGGAGGTCAACATATGATACCTTATGATAGACCTTCTTAGCAGTAGGGGGTTCTGTTATGAGGAGACCTTAGTCTATTCCTTAGAATTGAGCTTAGGGTGGAGCTTCAGGCATTTGATGTTATAAATGTGGAGGAGCTCATTTCATCAGAGATTGCCCTCTAAGCGAATAAGTGTTTTAGATGTGGCCAATTAGGTCATATTTCTAAAGACCGCACAATAGAGGCTAGGCAACCCAAAGGTGTTCAAAGAGTAGAGAGACTTACTACAACTAGCAGGGTGTTTGCCTTATTAGGAGTTTAGGCTTCCACTTCTACAAATTTGGTGAAAGGGAAGGGAAAAACTATTGGTAAGGATGTTATCGTATTGTTTGATTATAGAGTTATATATTCATTTATTTTGTATGATTGCGTTGAGAGGTTGGGTTATGGAGACCAAAGAGGTGGTTACTAAAATATATCCCTTTTATAATATGTATAGATGAAGAATTTAAAGTTTAAATATTTTTTAAATTCTTTAAAATAGTAAAAAATTTCTTCTACTTTCCTCTTCTCTCTTTTAAAGTCAACATAAAATTATCGTTTCTTTTAAATTAATTAAATATTTAAAAATTGGCTAATATTTAATTTTATAGAATTAAATATTAATATATATAAGTTATTATTACATGAATTACTAATACACTTTCAAAGCATTTTACTCAAAATTCATATTTATTTAATACAAACATTTATAAATTTGTTTAATATAAAATAATGAAAGATCGACATATAATTAATATAGTACAATTAATTAGTTCGTGTTTAATTTGTTTTTTTTATTGTTGTTTTATAATTTATAAAATAGTTATATTAAAAAAGATATTAATTTTCCTACCGTATAAATATTATACATGGCTAATTAATCATAAATTATCTTAAACATAATTTTTAAAATAATTATTATAAAAATCAACAAAATTATTATACACTATATATTATATTATTAAGTGAGTCTATCAATCCAACTCACCTAAACTTTACTTTAAAAAAAAATATTAAATGATAATTAATTATTGTAATGTAAGGTCACAAAATGAACCATGTAAGGTGTAACATACCTATACATATGGTAAGTAGTAGTTCAGCCAGAACAATATTCATTAAATCAAATGCAGCATTAGTGTATATAAATTGGATAAACATAGTAATTTATTATTAGATGAATTACTAATACACTTTCAAAGCATTTTACTCAAAATTCATATTTATTTAATACAAACATTTATAAATTTGTTTAATGTAAAATAATGAAAGATCGACATATAATTAATATAGTACAATTAATTAGTTCGTGTTTAATTTGTTTTTTTTTATTGTTGTTTTATAATTTATAAAATAGTTATATTAAAAAATATATTAATTTTCCTACCGTATAAATATTATACATGGCTAATTAATCATAAATTATCTTAAACATAATTTTTAAAATAATTATTATAAAAATCAACAAAATTATTATACACTATATATTATATTATTAAGTGAGTCTATCAATCCAACTCACCTAAACTTTACTTTAAAAAAAAATATTAAATGATAATTAATTATTGTAATGTAAGGTCACAAAATGAACCATGTAAGGTGTAACATACCTATACATATGGTAAGTAGTAGTTCAGCCAGAACAATATTCATTAAATCAAATGCAGCATTAGTGTATATAAATTGGATAAACATAGTAATTTATTATTAGATGAATTACTAATACACTTTCAAAGCATTTTACTCAAAATTCATATTTATTTAATACAAACATTTATAAATTTGTTTAATGTAAAATAATGAAAGATCGACATATAATTAATATAGTACAATTAATTAGTTCGTGTTTAATTTGTTTTTTTTTATTGTTGTTTTATAATTTATAAAATAGTTATATTAAAAAATATATTAATTTTCCTACCGTATAAATATTATACATGGCTAATTAATCATAAATTATCTTAAACATAATTTTTAAAATAATTATTATAAAAATCAACAAAATTATTATACACTATATATTATATTATTAAGTGAGTCTATCAATCCAACTCACCTAAACTTTACTTTAAAAAAAATATTAAATGATAGTTTTAAAACTTTACATATTCAAACATTCTAATTAACTAAATTAAGGGTGTTTGCCTTATTAGGAGTTTAGGCTTCCACTTCTACAAATTTGGTGAAAGGGAAGGGAAAAACTATTGGTAAGGATGTTATCGTATTGTTTGATTATAGAGTTATATATTCATTTATTTTGTATGATTGCGTTGAGAGGTTGGGTTTGATTGTGTCTACTCCAACTTTGACCTGTGATTATTTCTGAGTTGTTTGTGAGGTGTCTGATAGAGGTGTTTGATAGGAAGTACAAGGTGAACTTAATTTGTTTGTCTATGGTAGAGATTGACATAATATTAGGAATAAATTGGTTATCCGCTAATCACATTCTTATACATTGTATTAGGTAGGAGTTGGTGTTCCCTTAGATTGAGGATGAGGTGTTGGTGTTAGCCAAGCAAAATAATGATTTGTTGAGGGATGGGGCTTAGTGTTTTATGTTGTTTATTACTTTGATTGTTGAGAATAAGAAGTAAATAAGTGGGATTGAGGTTGTTAGAGATTTCCTATAGATGTTTTCGAATGAAATGCATGGGTTACCTCCTACTAGGAAAATTGAATTTAGGATTGACTTGGTTCTATGTGCGGGCCTAGTGTCAATATCCCTATAAAATGACCCCAACTAAGTTGAAGAAGCAAGTGGAGGATTTGTTGGAAAATTGGATGGTGAAACCTAGTATAACTTTATAAGGTGCTCCTATTTTATTGATGAAGAAGAAAGATGGAGAAGTTAGGTTGTGTGTTGATTATAGGCAATTGAACCCTAAACCTACTTGTCGCCCCACCTTAGGTGGGGCGAAGGAGGCCAAGGCGTACAACCTATTTTTACTTGACGAGCCACCTGCCTAGACTTGTTTTTAGTAGTTGACGACGATATAAATCTAAACTGGTTGAACATACTCATTTTGTCATCCCTAAATTTAAGTTTTTTTTTTTTTTAGTCATTATCCATACTTTGTTCTCATAATGACATGTGAACAAATTTGTTGATTTATACTACACTCTCTTCTAATAGAGAGAGACAATTTTGTTTGATAATATTTTAGTGATTTTTTTAAATTCATTTTTATTTTGAATATTTATTATTTTTTATGAAATTAAATCTTGATCAGACATTAAATGGGTAGATGTTTGTATGATTGTGCATGCAAGAATTTTTCTTTTGTGTGATAGATTTATACATAATTATATATTATAGATAGAATTAAATATCATTAGGGTTCCTAAAAATGTATGTAACCAACACTTTAATTCCTAAAAATAAAGAAAATTTAAACAAATTCTTCGCAACTCTAGTTATTTCATTTAAATTCTTAATTAAAAATAACTATTTGATATTATTTTTTATCCTTAAATATACATTAATATTGTTATTTAAGTCACAACATATAAATTTTAGATTAAAATAAATAAAAATTTACATTTTTAAGAATTTTTTTTCTTTGAATCTGTATACTTTGAATAAAAAGAATGGTGTTTTTAGCCATTATAGATAATAGAATTTTTTTTTCTTTGATAATTGCTCGTTTTACTCAAGAGTGAAGAGTGATGATTAAACATAGAAAATGGCATCTTTGTGATAGCGACAAGGAACGTGCCTTGACGTAACTCCAATTATACATGGCCAGTAACAAATAGAACACTGCCTACTTCTGAACCAACACAAACTTGATCATCCTCTTCAACAAAGATGGCTGTGGTCGAAGCTGCATCTCCCACAACTTTTGATCCTAAAAACAAGCCAAAAAGGAACAAGTTCGCTTTGGCCTGTGCCATTTTGGCTTCAATGACTTCAATCCTATTAGGTTACGGTCGGTAGTACTAACTACGATTTCGTTGCACTTACTCATTGCTTCTTTACTGTTCCTTCCTAATACCTACTATACTCATTGTTTTCATTTTCGACTTACTCATTGTTTTCATAATAATGACTGTGCACAGATATCGGAGTGATGAGTGGAGCAGCTCTGTACATAAAAAGAGACCTGAAAATTTCGGACGTGCAAGTCGAAATCATGAACGGCATCATAAACCTCTACTCTCCGGTAGGTTCCTTCATCGCCGGCAGAACCTCCGACTGGATAGGCCGCCGTTACACCATTGTCCTCGCCGGAGTCATTTTCTTCGCCGGCGCCATCCTCATGGGACTCTCCCCTAACTACGCCTTCCTCATGTTCGGCCGCTTCGTCGCCGGCGTCGGCATCGGCTTCGCCTTCCTCATCGCCCCCGTCTACACCTCCGAAATCTCCCCTACCTCCTCTCGCGGCTTCCTCACTTCCCTCCCCGAGGTACGTTAACCTAAACCAAACCTAATTCACATAATGCACGCAAAACATAACAATTCATACAGCAATTTATTTATGCGATATGCGATATGCGATATATAGGTGTTTTTGAACGGAGGAATTTTAATCGGTTACATTTCGAACTACGGATTTTCTAAATTGCCACTTCGGTTGGGTTGGCGACTCATGCTTGGAGTCGGAGCCGTTCCGTCTATTTTCCTAGCTGTGGCGGTGTTAGCTATGCCGGAGTCGCCACGGTGGCTCGTTGCGAAAGGTCGATTAGGTGAAGCCAAAAGAGTTTTGCACAAAATCTCCGATTCGGAGGAAGAGGCTCGGCTAAGGCTAGCTGATATTAAACAAACATCTGGGATCCCCGACGACTGCGACGACGACGTCGTTTCCGTCACGAAGCGGAGTCACGGCCACAGCGTGTGGAGGGAGCTTTTCCTCCATCCCACGCGCGCGGTTCGTCACATATTCATCGCGTCGCTGGGGATTCATTTTTTCGCGCAAGCGACGGGCATCGACGCCGTCGTTTTGTACAGCCCGAGAATCTTCGAGAAGGCGGGGATAAGATCCGACAACTACCTTCTTTTGGCCACCGTGGCCGTTGGGTTTGCGAAAACCGTTTCCATTTTGGTGGCCACGTTTTTGTTGGACCGGGCCGGGCGGCGCGTGTTGCTTTTGTGCAGCGTTGGCGGGCTGGTGCTCTCGCTGACCACCCTCGGGGTGAGTCTCACTGTGGTGGACCATTCGCGGACCACGCTGACGTGGGCCGTTGGGCTGAGTCTCGCTGCGGTGTTGTCCTACGTGGCCTTTTTCTCGATTGGGTCGGGGCCCATCACGTGGGTTTATAGCTCGGAGATCTTCCCGCTGAGGCTGCGGGCCCAGGGTGTGGCTATTGGAGCCATGGTGAATAGGGTCACTAGTGGGGTCATATCCATGACTTTTCTGTCGCTTTATAAGGCTATCACTATTGGCGGTGCTTTTTTTCTGTTTGCGGGAATCGCTGTTGCTGCCTGGGTCTTTCACTACACGCTGCTCCCCGAGACACGTGGGAAGACTCTTGAGGAAATTGAAGGGTCGTTTGGTAATTTCTGGTGGAAACCCAAGGCTGAGGTAGCTAAAGCTACCGCACAAACGGAACTAAAAACCATTGGCCAAACTTCCACAAACGTGGATTAGGATAAGATGTTAACTGATAAGGTGTCGTACTGTCGTGATAGGATTGAAGTTTTCATGGTAAATGTAGTTATCTCTTAAAAAAAGCATTGTAAAGTAAATCCTGATATTACAATATCACTCTTCATGTACGAGCCATGCACAGTAGTTATTAATATTGTAATCTTTCTAGAAAAAAGTTGGTGAAAAATAACTTTTTTTTTTTTTAGTTTTAGTTATTATCAAGCGAAAATTGCACCAATTATAATTTTATAATATATATTCCTAGCCTACTAATTGTATAGGTGAGTGACCGGATCCGTAGAAGACTACGCCATTTTTATCTGGATCTATTCACGTGAAATTTTAATATTTTAAGTAAAGGTTGAACTTTTTTCTTTCGTGATAATTGAATTAACTATCTCAACAATTTGAGCTCTTCAATAAAGACGCGTGAATCATTCTGTCTCTAATAATATATACAACTTTTACTCGCGTTGCGGTAGTAATTGAAATCGAAAATAATGGAGTAAGTCCAAGGACGGAGCCAAGGGAGGACCTACGGGTGCCACGGCCCCCCAACAATTTTAATTTTTTTTTTATATTTTTTTTTATATGCTTTTGATACTTTAATTTTCATTTATTATAAATTATATATTATTTATTCTCGGCCCCCCAGTATTGAAATCCTGGCTCCGTCCCTGAGTAAGTCACAACTGGGGAAGAGCCTGTATTGAAATTTTGATTAGAATATATTTTTGGGATGAAAAGGAAAATAAACGTCGTGTTTTGACTTCTGCTTACCTTATGAGGAAGACATGGGTGATCAATATGATGTCGTGTTTATTTATTAATATCCTATAACAAGCGGTATTGGTGTGTTTATTTATTAGTTACGTTATGATAATTAGCTACAATTCACATGAATGACATGATCAAATAAAAGGTTGACTACAATCCAGCCATATCTTCAAAGGTATACTGCTTTCAAAAATCTGAATACGGTGAATGCCACTAATGCCCGGAAAAGGCTGATGAAGCACGATTCAAAAGAATAAAGAATATAGCAGTTGGTATGCCAAAATCGCTTCAAGAAAGAATTGCTTTAAGGGCATCCTTCACGTAAGGATATTTGAATGGGAAACCCAACTTCTTAGCTTGAGTAGGAACCACTCTCTGCCCATCTAAAACCTACAAAGACATGTGTTCATTTAAAGGAGGAATTCATGCAAAAAGTTATGTAGACTGAGAACAAATTAACCAGAGATGATTCCTTACCACAGTAGCACCTTCTCCAAGGACAGCCTTGAGCGCAAAGTCGGGTACCGGCAGCCATGAAGGACGACCCAAGACATGTCCCAGCTGCTCACACAACTCTGCCAATCGCACAGGATTTGGTGCAGTTCCATTGATAACACCTAATACAAACATTCATGATAATGCGACAAGTTCATTAATTAATTAAGATTGAAGTAACTAGACAGAAAATATAACCACATGAAATATATCCATTATGTTGCCTTGACGATGTGTAGTTTGGCTGGCAGTAATCTCAAAAGGAATAGCATAATTTACTGTTAATGTAATAGGTGGAAAATGGATAATCCTATTATACGAAGTCTATGTTATATCCAATCTCCACCGTCCGTAACTCATTTGCAATTTTTTAAAGAATTTTGATAAATTTTGTTTGTAGTGATGGGAGGGAAAAATTCACCTTTGTAAGATGGATTTGATAGCGCTTCATATATTAAATTGACAATGTCATCCAAATGAATCCAGGAGAACCTGTACGAAAGAGTACAAAAAACTCAACTATGACATGTATCTAGAGATTAAAGACAAACTAAAACTCACCTCATAACACATTTGTACCACGATACTAGTAAATTGAATTTAACATTAGAAATAACTACACATCTTATTATCAATAGTCAAGCTATATATAATATATAAGGTGGTTTTGCAGTTTACAAAACACATCAGGTTGGAGTTGACAATTGCTCCATGAACAGTGTCTAAGAATGAATTAACAGTACTACACAGCAATCTCTTACAAGCACAAGAAACAGAGTGTAATACCATTGTTTTCCAGAGCCTAGAGGCCCACCAGCAAACAAGTTGAATAAAGGTATCATTTTAGCTGCAGAGACTCAAAGATGTAATTGTCAGTTAAACCCAAACAATATCATGAATTTCAAGAGTTATAAATCATTTATAGTTTTTGTTTTCAAAAAAAAAAAAAAAAAAACATAAGTCCTACATTGTCCACTTATCTTGTTAAAAGACTAAGACCAATAAGCTTAACAAGGTAAGTGGACAATGTACGATGTCAAATAGTATATTCAATGACAGAATTATGTAATTTAGAAGCAATACCTAGTGCTCCACCATCTTTACCAAGAACAACACCAATGCGAATTAGAGCCACTCTAACATCTCCGTTTACCTTTAGGGCTGTGGATTCCCATTCCCTACAAACCTGAACAGAAGCTATAGTTGTAAATTGTCAAATGTTCCATCTATTTGAATAAACGTCTTCAGGGTTAGGAAGTTGGATAAAAGTAGTTCCAATTTTTCTTAACCACTGCCTTCGCTTAATTTGTATATTTTGTACTAGACAGTTTAAAGGTTCAGAGTCTCAAATGTTCCTTTGTATGGTAACTAATAATCAAAGAGAAATTTGGGATTATAAAGTAGAAATTGGGTTCGTTTTGCACTTTTAACAAACTAACAAATGTTGGTGACTTGGTGTTTTCAAGTGACTTAAATACCCAAAACCAAGGTCGACTGGTTTCAATATGCTTTTTCCGACTTGAACATATCAAATTCATTGAACCGAATGATCAGAAATAGCTTTTTCAAAGGAAAAAATAGACAAAAGCAATGCATATGGTACATCAATTAATGATCAATATCCTTAAACACCAAAGTATATAAACAGAAGCTAAATAGCTAATAGATTCAACACCATCTTCTTATCAAAACGTTAATCAAGAAAGATCAATATCCTTACGAAATTCACTAGTAATACTCTCAAAATATTCCATTGCAAATCAAACATGTTTTTGCCTATTTTCTCATGAGATCTTAAGATATTATATTTTTTTGCAATAGTAACAAAAACGTTTTTTTTTTTTTTTTACCTCAGCCAAGTAATCCTTTCCTGATGGACTTTGTTCATCAAAGACTTGTGTCTCACTGCTACCTGAACATATTAAAGTGGAAGGAAAATGGAAAAAACTTTCTTTGTTTGCAAAATAATGCACAGTTATTAAACAATCAGTGACTATAAAACATGCTTCAAATATAGTTACATTTGCTATGCATTAAACAACAGATAATACTAATCACCAAGCAAGAAAATGACCGACAAGTATTGAACCAGTTTTGCAATACAAACATACCATAATAACCAACAGCTGTTGCACTAACAAAAACTTTAGGTCGAATATCATCTGGTGCACTGTTTATAAATTCTACAACCTTTGCTACGAAATAAATAGGTCAGGAAGAATAAGCAATGTTTTATGTAAATACATGTGGCTTATGTTGATGCACATATATTTAACCAACAGAAAAAAAAAAAAAAGGAGAGAATATATTTATTTCTATTATTCGTCAATGGGAAATGTATGCTTACCTTCGAGGTCACTCTAATCCTGCTTTGCTTGATTTCCTTCTTTATCTGCAGCATTAAGATGTGTATAACGTGTTTGGAATTATGCATGGGCTAATTTTACCAGCATCCAGATGAAGGTAGGTGAAAAATAGAAAGACATGTATGTGTATGTATAATCTGTAACCGGCTTAAAGAAATAATGTTCAGCATTTTACAATTTATTACACCAGCGTTCAAGATAGCAAAAGTTGCCAAATATAAATTAATATATTATTTATATTTCAGTTTTTTGTTATTTCAATAAAATTTTAAAAATTGTAAATGAGGCCAACTGGCCAAGGTGTCCAGCCCAACAAGAAAAGAAAGACATAGACTGGCAGCAAGAAACAAAAAATCAAATTATCTTGAACAGAGACAAGACAAAAACATTAAAAGAAAAATACCTAATATCAGTAATATGTCTTAAACTCTTAATAACCACCTTCTAGGTGTAAATTGAAGTCAATCATTTTAGTGGAAGCATAACAAATATATCAAAAAAGAAAAATAACTATTATCGTTTTGATTAACAAAAAAAAAAATCATTTTAGTGGAAGTGATAAGAACATGGCAATAACCTCAGGAGACCATCGGGTACTTATGGGCAATCCAGCTAAATTCACAACCCCCGTTGAGCGCTGAATGCTATCTTTCCATTCTATCTCCTCTGCAATCTTGATTCCTGGAAAGTCTTTTGCTGTAGATACCAGGGTAAAATTAACCAATTAATCCGAAGTTTAGTATAATTTTGACTCAAGGAAAATAAAATTAGAATTTCAATACCGGAGAAATCCAAATTATGCAAGAATTGAAACCAACAAAATATATATTACTTCATTACTGAAGAAATCCAAGTTATGCAAGAATTAAAACCAAAAAAATATATATTACTTATAAATTGAAGGTACTCTGCTACTAGTGAAGTTGATGTGTCACTTTTAAGTTTGAACTAAGGTTTGCAGTTGCAAATGAGTTTTACTCAGTATTCTTTTGCGTAGTGCGAGTGTTAGTGCACATTAATAGCATTAATTTATTACCTTCTTACCCGGAAAAATTGTTTCTGCTTTAGATTTAGATCGCGTCAAGACATGAACACTATGATTGTCTGCAAATATTGTTATTTGAGACAGCAAGTTAGTTTAACTGTTTACACATATACCAGCAGAAGCTGAGAATTCAATTGGTAAATAAAGGCAAGCAAGAGTTTAACAAAATCCAGGCACTAAAGGGAAGCAATTAAGTTCAAAAGATGCAAACATTTACCACTTGTTTAAGTTGAGGCTTTAAATTTATATGTAGTATATGTTTTGCAAAATATGAGGAAATGACGAGGACAACACAACCACAGTGCACCTTTCAGGGTAAAACTTATCTAGGACTGGACAAAAAAGGCTGAAATCTTGATATACAACAGAGCACTGGGAAAATGCTGCATATCATATCAAAAAACATATATAAATGGGGTCTAGTAAGCTAGAGAACAGGGCATAACCTGCTTGCAGTCTTTGCACCAACCTTTTACCAATAAATCCGGTTGCTCCAGTTATAGAGATGATCATTTTATTTCCCTGCAAAAATACTCTTTAAGTGATAACAATCTTGAAGAAACCTAAACTAAATAACCAGTTAGAAAAGCCAAAACTGAGAACAGCATATTCTTAATGTGCAAATTACCAATATAATGTTTAGCAGAAATTATGGTTACCAGACACAGAAGCCAAATGTATTCTTGTGGATCTTAAAGTAAATATAAGAAATTATTAATACTTAACAAGGTATAAAAAAATTGCATTGCTCATCCCTCAACAATTTTCGGCTCATGATCTGTTGTTAGGTTGAAAGGTGAAAATCTTAATCTTAGGTGGCACCACATTAAAACGGAGCCAATGACATCCTTACTTTGAACATTGATAGCTAATAATCCTAACCCAATACCAGGTTTCTTAAAGCAAAGTAACGAGAAGCCTAGGTTGATTGTTAGCTGACAAAATTAACAACTATTAACAGTTCCATGTTGGGTTTTACCAATTACCACGTCTGACATCCCACGCAAAAGCAAAGAGAACGAGTAGAACACAATTTGGCACTTGGAATGGAATGAGTGGGTAATACCTTGGAGTCTTGATCAGAGACACAGAAAACCTTGAAGGTCCTAGCCTCTCTGGTCTAGTAAAATGGAGTGGGTATAAGTGAGGAATGCAAAAAGTGAGAAAGGAAAAGGGTCAACGAATGAGCTTACAGGGAGTGGTCGAGGAAGGTGAAGGGATGGAGAGATGGTGTGCGACCATGTCAGAGCTGTGGCTCCACACATTTCCATTAAGAATTCACCAGAATTTGAACTTGTTAACCAAGATTATGACTCTTAGCAACGAGATGAAGTGTGTGTAAATAAACTATTCTCGCAACATTTCGTGTTTTATTTGGAGCCACACCAACGCCCCTTCTCATATCTATCCATCACTCCCTTTGAGTTGCTGTGATTGGACGGACCATAGACTGTTCGTACGCGAAGCCTTGTCCAGCAATTTTTTGTTTTTTACTTTTCAAAAACATGTTAAGAAAATATTTTTTGTTTCGGTTAGCGTCACATGTTTTATTTGTAGCGTCAAAATTAAATTCAGTTAAATTAGAAAGACTAATGAAGAGAAAAATATGTATGAAGACTAAAAATCTATAGCTTAAATATATTTTTAGTTTTTAATTGTAAAGGCATTAAATTACGCCAACGATATCTTGCTATGTTGATATCGTAATTCAATTTGTAATTTAGAAAGGCTGGATGCCATGATGATCTTAAATGTTCGATTTTTCACTTGATTACCGATGCTTTTCCCTTTGGCTATATAGGAGCATGTACCGGAGAAGTTTATGTTGTAGTAATAATTGAGATAACTGAGGTCACAACAAAAATAAAAATAAAAGGCTCGAAACTGCAAAACTAACAAGTACTTAAAACTCGAAACTCGGAGCCCAAAGAAAGGAGAGAAAAGAAGCTGTGTTTTTCTGTGTCTTTCCCCTTGGACTGATGCCAGTATATACAGGAACAGAAATGAGTACCAGCCGCATCAGCCATAACCACGAGAATTAAATGCAACTAAAGAGTAATAAAACTTTTTAATATGTAATTAATGACCAACAGTCAGAAAATTAGACTATTAAATGAAATTGTAAATAGTTAATTTGGAAGATGCTAAAACTCTAAACCTTAAAACCGTTACGTTTTAGATAACCTCTTAATTTTCTAAATAACTTAAAATAATTAATTAAAAACAAAAACTGCAAAAAGCCCTTGGGACAAATAGACTGATTTGAACGTCAAGCCTTTTTGGTCTATGTTCATGCCCAACACTGTTACTAGTCTTTGTATATCTATACTACAACTTGACATATAAATCATTCTCTAAAGGTAATACTCACCTTGATTGTGATTATAGGAAACAAATGTAAAATATACTGTATCTTGTTTCTTATATAAAAGACCAGAAGGAGTACTGACCAATACGAGACTTCATGCCTTTTGCTATATCTTAATATTACATCAGTTTAATCAGTGACATGGGACTAGAACCTATAGTATAAAATACTGGGCGCACCATAAACCCAAAAACAATTACTGATGCCAGAAGATTTGCGATTGAATTTAAAGAAACCAACCATAAACAAAGTGAAAGGTACATAACTCCCTGTATTAACAAATATCGACAGACTAACAATTTCAATTCAAATAAAATTGTTGGGAAGTAAAATTAGTAAGATATAAATAACAAAATGTGCTGTTAACGCAATAAAGTAATAACCAAAGATATAAAAAAATCTTACAAGAAATGGGAGCCAAGGAGCAAGTGACCAGTGTTGACGGTTCAAAAGTAAAGAATATCTTATCTAATTTGTTACACGTGACTAGAGTGCATAATTAAAAGAAAAAAATATCCAAAATTTGATGTATAACAAAACTCTTATTTATTGAGTAATTTCGTTGTATTTCTTTCAGAAAAACATTCTAGCACATCCAAAATTAGTAGTATACTGACACTTTAATACAAAAGTTCACTTATCGATCTAAATTTCTGTTGAGTAAATGTATTTCATATTCCCTGCCTGCTTCAACAATCATCAAATGGTTCAACATAATATTAGAATACTCAAAATGCTCTTTTATTGAGAAGATCCATGTCGATTAGGATTATACAACTGACCAAAACACAAGGCAAGGTTTAGCTACACCAGCATCCAATATTAAAAGACCCGTTACTACATATAAATTACAAAGGCTTATGGCAGCAGCAAAAAAATTGAAGACTAAGATCATATGGCACAAAGGGGGAAAAAGAAGCTTAAGAAGCTTTATTAAGCAAAGACTACTTATACAAACACAAAAATGACTGGTGCAGCTACTGCTTTCACACACAAGTATTTGTTAAATCCTCCAAGTGGACATCACTAACCTCACAACTAACAATTTACCCCCATCGTCCTCACAATAAGGTTAAAACAGATTGGGAGATTTAAAGAATATTTTGCAGCACATCTTTCTTAATCAGCTCTAGACTGACCAGCACGAGAAGAGAGAATAATACCAACAATGAGACCATACAGGGCAAGAGCTTCAGCAAAAATGAGGATGAGAATCATTCCAACAAAAAGTTTTGGCTGCTGCGCATTGGCCCTGCGGAAGAAGATTAATTGTTCAAATTAAGAATTTTATTAGCAATCACTATAAAAGCTATATCCCTGTATCAAATCAAAAGCAAAATATACGTTGCATCAAGGATCGCAGGTCTATTGATAGAAGACAAAGCTATTGCATTAAGTATCACCATGAAATCAATAGACTTCAGTTCAGAATAAGAGCAAATCAGGTAAAATAAAGAGTTCACCAAATTAAATCAAATCAGTATTAACTTCAATCATAGATGCGATACTAAGGCAGAAGAATTATACCTAACACCAGCATCACCAACAATACCAATAGCCATGCCAGCAGAGAGACCGGCCAACCCACAGGCAAGACCAGAGGAGAGATGAGCATAACCATCAAAGAGGTAATAAGATTTGGCCTTGGGATTAATACCAGTACTGATAATAACAGCAATAATCAGACCATAAATACCCAAAACTCCAGCCATAACAACAGGAACAATAGACTTCATCACCAGCTCCGGTCTCATCACACCCATCGAAGCCACGCCCACCCCACTCTTTGCTGTGCCATAGGCAGCTCCCATACCTTCCTCCATCAATTCAAACAACTCTTAGTAAGATAAATCTACAGAAAACACAGAACTAACAAAAATTTGTTCACAATTCCTTTTTTTTTTCAGTAGGAAACTAGGAATTACAATGAACACATCCAGGTTCAAATCTAGGATCTTGAACATTCTACCTAGGAATAATTCCTTTTTCTTTCTTTATAATAGTTTATATAATAACTATTTACCAACAAGATGTTCACCTTAATGATACTAGACTCTGTCTATTTAAGTAATGTCTCAAGTTCTAGGCAAGGCTTGTCTTGTGCATAGAAAAAAAATATTATTGAGAAGGGAAACAATGATGGAGATTAGTCATGGTCGAAGCCGGTGTATATTTCTTACCAATAAGATGGTTAAAAAAAATATACATAACTATTAAACAGTTCTACGATCAATTTCAACAATCAAAAGCAACTTCAATAGACTTATTTGGTCCACCGAGTTCCAAGTTCGAACCAAATTAACGAAGATTCTAACAATAACTAAGAGAAATGACTATTGAGCCACGAGATAAAACTTCAGCGTTCATATGTAAATAGTAAAACTAAAACTACAATTCGCGGTAGCTTATTGTATCCAACAAAAAACAATTGCTCCACGGAAACTACCAAAGCACAACTGAATCAACAATCATAACATTATTTTTTTACATGCAACGGATCAAATAGCGCATCGAACGTTAAAATTTCCTGATAAAGCGAAGTTCAAAAAAGATCACGAAAACACGAGCATAGATCTAATCGAGAAATTAGGGATTTAATTACAGGAGAAGACGAGTGCAGCCGCGGCTCCAAGGAAGCCGAAAAATGGTGCCGTCTCATCGCCGCTGAACGGAGCCATTATCGCTGCAACGACGTCGTATAGATCTGATCGGAGAACTGAGATATTCCGATTTCCGCACAGAGGGGTTCCACTTCCCGATCTCTGTTACCGTACACTGTGGAGGGGAAAGAACCATTTCCTTTATTTTATAGTTAGTTAATAGTTAATTACCCACCCCTTACGGTGCCGGGTACAAAATAACCCGAACCGGATTTAACCGGCCCAGTGTAGTTGTCATAACGCGTGCTTTTAATGGGTGTTGTCCTCAGTGGGCTATGTTTTATCATGGGCTTGGGCTTTTAAGACTGTGGCCCATTGGTCCGAAATTGAAGCATAAGAGATCACGGTCACACACACTTGCGGTGTAGTTGAGCTGAGTGAAGGAGGAAGAGAAGAAAGGCATGGCGATAACACTCAACAATGGCTTCAAGATGCCCATCATTGGATTGGGTGTGTGGCGCATGGAAGGAAAAGAAATCAAGGACCTAATTCTCAATGCCATTAAAATCGGTTATCGCCATTTCGATTGTGCTGGTATTCTATTTTACCTTCTTTCTTTTATTGGATTCATAATAGTTGAAAGATACTTTCTTTTGAAATATTCTTATTCTTATTCTTGTGATTCTCGTCCCTTTTATTTTGTTAGACTAACCCCACCAAAACTGTTGATTGATTAAAGTCAAAACTTAATTTATTGTTGATGCATTTACATGGTGATGTGATGTGTGGATAAAAGCATATGGTGGTTGATGAGATTTGGATGTGTTGCAGCTGATTACAAGAACGAAGCAGAAGTTGGAGAGGCGCTTAAGGAGGCTTTTGATAGTGGTCTTGTGAAGAGGGAGGACCTTTTTATTACCACCAAGGTTAGTTTCACAACAATTCCTGTTGGGTTATCTTGTTTGTTTGTGATTTGTTTTGGTCATGATAATGATGATTGGTCTGAGTCAGATAATTACTATCTTACCCTTTTTCTTTCAATATGATTTCAGCTTTGGAATTCCGATCATGGACACGTTCTTGAGGCGTGTAAAGACAGTCTTAAGAAGCTTCAGTTAACTTATCTAGATTTGTATCTTGTTCATTTTCCTGTTGCCGTAAGGCATACTGGTATGTCCGTTTCTTACGCGTCCCTTTAATTTATCTTTTGTGCATGTATAGTAACAATTATAATTATCCAATAGGTTTTGCTTCTTACGAATAAAAAAAATTAACATTTTTAAAGTAGTGATCTAACTAGCAGAGTGTTTTAACGTGAAAATACAATGAGCTTGAATTCCATGGCACCGGATCACGATTATACCTCTACTCAAGAGTCAAAAATGTTTTTGAACCCTTTTTTAACGCAGAATCTCTGTTTCTTTGATGGTTTATTTCTCTTGTTCTTCTGTGTTCATGTATGTTATATACTTCCTACTTTGCGAAATTAGATCCTATCATATAAATTTGTCTTGGATTTTTAACAAATGATTTCGTGCGCATTTAATGTCTTCTAATATGACTTTGACATATTTCACATGCATGCAGGAGTTGGTAATACTTCTAGTCCTTTGGGTGATGATGGGGTCCTGGACATAGATACCAGCGTATCCCTGGAAACTACCTGGCATGCGATGGAAGATCTTGTTTCATCTGGCTTGGTTCGCAGCATAGGGATCAGGTGCAATTTGGTGCTGCAAAAAAGCTTGGCTATCTATGCTCTAGTAGATGCTCCAGATATTCTTTTTTATGACTACAGTTTATGGATAAGTTTTATCCAGTCATTCAGAAACAGTAAAATCAAAAAATGAATAAAGATAAAAAAAAAAAAAAAAAAAAAAAAAAAAAAAAAAAAAAAAAAAAAAAAAAACCAGTCTTGTTAAGTTGAGTGTGGACATTGTGACATCCTCTCATGTATCATTAGTCACATGATTTTAATTTCTCACTCCAACTCCTACATGAAAGTTTATATTATTTTAGCATGATTAATGACTTGCAAGTTGCAACCAAGTATCTCTGCAAATCAACTGTGTAACTTGTATGGTACACATTCTATATTCTTTATATGCTGGGTTTTTCACTCTAGCATCACCTACACCCTAGTGTGATAAGACTTGATTGTTGTTGGTTTCTGTTAGTATAACATACCATTATGAAAGAGGAATGTATTGCCTAATCCATCCATGTTTGAATTTATGATCTAGATGTTCGTAGTATTGACTTGAGATGCTTGATTCTTTTTAATGAAATTGCATTCTAACAAAAAGCTATTTGCAGCAACTATGATATCTTTCTGACCAGAGATTGTTTAGCATATTCCAAAATAAAGCCTGCTGTAAATCAGATTGAAACTCATCCGTACTTCCAGCGTGATTCTCTAGTCAAATTTTGTCAGAAGCACGGGATTTGTGTCACTGCTCACACTCCACTAGGAGGTGCTGCAGCAAACAAAGAATGGTTTGGTTCAGTTTCATGTTTGGATGACCAAGTTTTCAAAGTGAGTTGTCAATACTAGTTTCCATAACTGCCTGGCATTGTGTATGTTTGGATGCACGTCCAAGTGACTTACGTTTAAGACGTGAATTAAACGTGATTTTTGAAGAAATTAGACATGAATCCAAACACGCACATTGTCTATCCAAAAACAGTTAGCAGCCCAGAAAGTGATGTTGACTAATTTGAGGGTATACCATTTCTTTGATTTCAGGCTCTGGCTGAAAAATACAAAAAGACTATTGCCCAGATTGCTCTTCGCTGGGGCATTCAAAGGAACACTGTGGTCATTCCTAAAACATCAAAACTGGAGAGGTTGGAAGAGAACTTTCAGGTTTTTGATTTTGAGTTGTCTACAGAAGACATGAAGATCATTGGAAGTATAGATAGAAAATATAGAACTAATCAACCAGCTGTGTTTTGGGGCATAGATCTGTATGCATGAGAATACCCTTCCAAAATCCTAAGTTTGTATGGCGATCCCTCTAATATGCAGAAATATCATGGCTCTTTGACCTTGAGACTTGTGTTTGCATTCAGATTATGTATAAGCTGATCTTCCAGGTACCTTAGTAGCTCATTTGATTCAGATATGTCGTTAAGTTACTTTCTTGGCCCATATCAAATCTTGTGGACTAATTAAGGGAGATTTCAGAATATTTTGTTACTTAATTCGTTTTGCTTTTTTTTTTCGGTTAATTCAGAATGCTTTCTGTATGCATGGATCAGTTTTTTTTTTTCCAAAAAAAAAAGAAGATAAAACTAAACCTAACTATTTTACAAAAGCAATTCGGATTAAGTCCGAACGAACTTGCATAACAAAAATAATTTGGCTCGGTATTTTCTCTAACAATTTAATTTTATGGTTTAAATCGGTTTAAAAATGATCCATTTCGAGTTCAGCTTCTTTTTTTTTCCCTAACTCCTAATTATTGGACTATCAAATCCAACGTGGATGCTCGGTAGATTGATTCTTGGGAGAGTCAAATTTAACTGAAAGGAAAATGTATTGAAGTCAAAATTCGCAATACTAGTTGTAATTATCATGACAATGAGATTTTGGATGATTTAGCTGACCACTCAACCAAAAGCAATGTAAACCGCGGTTTTCAGTATCAAAAATGATATTTGTACACAATTTATATGATTACATTACTTGTTTTAAGATAATAAAATTATCTTGGCATCACAAGGTCTTAGAAACGAATGAGTATTTTAAATAATAACAATTCTCTGGAATTTCCATATTGAATGCAATCATAAGGTTTATTTTGGCGGTCAAATATATAAGATAAAACAAGACTTGATATGAAGTTGAACTTTTACACCCCAAAAAAGAAAACCAGAACTTAGATATTTCGAGTAGAAACTTCTTTAAACTAAAATAACTAATTTAAACAAGTATACCTTCAGAAATAATGAAGCTATTTGCTGCCATCAATTGTGATAATTACACATCATCTCACAATCTCACAGAATGAATGGAATTATAGCAAACCGATTACTTGGATAATCTTCAAATTTCTGACGATACCAGCTATGTGTTTCCACAGCTGCAAATGATAGGTTTGCTACCTGTACCCAATAAAAGAAATATGCAAAAAGCAAATCAAAATCAAAGATTGTTTGTTTAAAACATTAAAACCTTGCCAAATCTGCAAAGGACATATTACCACAAAAACAAAAAGTAGCCAGATTGTTAGGTTGGTTCCTCCAGTAGCGACCACAAAACTAGCGTATATAACCTTCATCATCATCAAATGTTAGGCTCATTCGTAACAGCCACAACAGTAGAAATTATAGAGACGAAGACAAAGTGGCTTACGATTTCAGAGAGATAATGTGGAGAGGAGACGATCTCAAACCAATCACCACGAGGTATTACATATTCCTCTGCTTGTCTTGAATGTCGTAGAGAACCCTGCCAAAATTATAAAAAGACAGCCTCACGACAATTGATTGCAACAATGTTAAGATAACTTAATCCACCTCGTTACAAAAATGACATATTTGCATTAAACTTCCAACATTTCATTTTAAAAAATGATTGCATGTAGATATTAGTTTACAAAATGCCAAACAAAGTTCCACATGAAAAGTAAATGAAGATAATATATATATATATATATATATATATATAAAATATTTCTGCGACCAAATTCACCATCTACTGCATGTGGGTACCATTACTATTATATAATATAATATCAGTGATATGATATGAAAATAAATAGCAATTAGAAGCCATGAAGATATAAATGATAGTTCATGATAGAAACTAGAAGTTATGAAGCCGTGGTTTCACTGATCAAACCAAAGATTTAGATGTCAATCAAGTACATGATGCATACAAGAATCTTATGGCACTGAAGTTGATGAATCCAACCCCATATGAAAACAGCTGCACCAATCCAATGCTTCCACCCAAGCCTGAAGAGAGGATTCACAACTTGCCAGAATTCTAATTCTGTTACTTGCATCTGATTCTTGCCCTTGACAATGAACTCGGTCAGGAGATTTCCTAGGTAGTTAAAGACCTCTACTGCACAATCGCCACACAGCGAGAGTGGTGCTGCTATGTAGAAACTAGCTTCAGAAAAATACGAATCAGTCATCTTCATTTTAGTATTTTCTGGAGGACAACCAGTGATAATTAAGAAGTACAAATGAAGGATGTGATGCAATTAATATTTATGTAATATTATATCATCTAAGAACACAGGTGTGAACCTTCACCACTTCAAATAACCAGAAAGATTGAAATTATATTAGATTGCACATCAACAAGTAATACCAGTACTCCAAATCTATCTGGGACTAGTCACTCTTATATAACATTTAGTTCACATGTGAACAAACAAATGGAATTAGTGATTCCCAATTGCAATCTTCTACTTCTTTCCTATGCTTGTTTTCCCATACTAAATCCAAAGTTTACAAATTCACAGCCTAAATCCAAATGCCAATTATACCTGTTCTATTAAAACAATCATAAATATTTTCGGATGAGAACTATCATAATAACTTCACAATTAGAAGACACGAGACCTTACATTAATGCTTCAGATTATCGAAATAAGAATGGGGGAAATCTTTTCAGGAAAGCATGTTAACATGTTTATGTGAATTCAACAATAAATTCAGAAAAAAAGTAATTGACCATATTAAACAAAGTCATAAAAGAGAACAATAATCAAAATATACATGTTCTGTTTTTCTCATTATATGCTAGAACAATGTTGTTCCAAGCTCCACAGCATGCTCATCCCCACAAAAGTTGAGTCCAAAAATGCTTTATGATGAAGCCAAATTTGAATAAAAGAGAACCAACATCATACTTTAATATGTCATATTGTCTCTCAAGTTATACATACGTGCACCGAATAGAACAGACATCTATGGAAAGTGATAGCAATATACTCCCCAAAACACTCATTTTAGTTGAAATTCATGTGGAGCCTACTAGTTTAACAATGGGACCCACCAAATGAGAAATAAAATCCATATATTCAGTGAGACCCAAATGAATTTCACATACATACTACCAGGAAAGCATGTATATAAAAGAGAGCATCAAAGAGTGTTACCAACATTTGTTGACATTTAATTACAGCAATTCATTCATGTCAGAAATTATACCAACTCAACTTTCAAAAATATAGAAGGCCCATATAATTTCAGACCACCCAATCAATCTATAATTAGGGATCCATCCCAAGGAATTTAACAGGAAGCAACAGCCTTCTCATGAAAACTGTAACCAGAATCGCGTTGTTTACCCGCAGCATAAAATAGGCATTTCACATTATTAATTCAGCATAGTAAAAGCAATTTCCAAACATCAAAAAGCAATTGTAAGTGAAGCAAATTGAGAAACAATCAATAAAGAACAAACTTACGCAAAGTACCATAGATACTGTTGGTGTTGTTCTACAATCGGAATTAAAATTTTACCTCGGTAATATTGAAGGATAACCTTACTCCTTGAGTCTCTGTTTTTACCTTTCCTGTAATTTCATTTCTTTACTCTTACTTTTTTGGTTGTAAAGCAGTAGGATAGGAATATTCCTTCTGTTATTTCTTGAAATTACCTGCTCTAGTTATTTAGACCTACAGCTTCTGTTAGAAGCTGTTAGATCCATATCTATTAGATTACATTATGTATTCACAAGGAAAAATAATGAAATAAATATTCATCCTGAATTCACCTTCTTAACTCTAATAGGTAATATGCATCTAATTCTTGTCGAGATGAAACTCTAAGTCTGATGGAAAAACAGCATCAACCGTATCTATAATAATACTATATCTAAGTTCTATCCAACTAAAATACAGGATCATAGTCATAGTCATAGGTAATAGTGACAGGTAATGTTGATGATGTTATCCGATCAAAATTGAAATTTTATCTATAATGCGTGTTGACCTTTAATGAAACACATTATCATAAAGAACCTTCAATTCTGACTAAAAAAACATCACTTAAGCCCATAGGACTGCATGTAAGAGATTTAACCATGGATTAAAAAACTCACAAATATCCAAGGAGATAACCAAAGACATGCATGCGAGCAGAAGGGCTGTAGTTAAAAACGTAAATGCTCTCATAAAGGCGTCTAAGCACTTGAAGTTCCATCAACAGAAGCATGAAAACAGATTGCCAAGCCACATATCCCTTCCTCAATTTAGCCGAACCGGTTCTTATAGTAGAGCCCCCAGTCAAGAAGCTTGTAATAGTGGAGTAAGAAAACGGCTCTGCAACAAGCGGCACCATGCTGTACGCATAAGCCCAAGTCGCAACAAGCAGCAACGTCGTCCACACAACAGCCACAGCGTAGAAGTGCAAGAAGAATCGTTGCGGAATGGTGAATTTCTGCAACACACAGAGCACGGTAAACGCTTCGTTTCATCACTCACTCACATCATTATAAATTCCTACTAGCGTGCATCTTTGTAGAAAGTTTTTTTGCAGTGAAAATGGGGAAAACGTGAAAAGGAGTAAATACATGAATGTGAAAGTGGTGTTACTTGGGAGGAGTGCATGATTTTGCCTCTCCTAGCGAAGCCGATCAGGGTGCGACGGAGCCAAGTGAGGTTAGAAGTGGGAATGGAAGCGATGATGATGGGTAATGTGGCAGCCAGCCATGCCAACCTCAGCATTTGAAGGAGAAGCCCTTCATCCATTGGTTGGTGATGATGATGATGATGATTATGGTGATAAACCATGGCTTTTACGTCAATTTATTCAAGTGCCAGAGAGAGAGATACGAAGCGTGAGGTAAGAGAATTAACAAAAATGTTTGGGTGCGTAAAGGGAGGAGTTAGGGATCTGCTATGGTCACAACAATCTTTCATTTCATTCTCCTTCTTAAATACTCATCTGTTCATTTTTTTTTTTAATAAAAGACTTATCTTTATATTTATTAGTATTTTTTTTTTTTTTTATTTTTTTTTTTTTTTATTTTTTTTTTTTTTTATTTTTTTTTTTTTTTATTTTTTTTTTTTTTTATTTTTTTTTTTTTTTATTTTTTTTTTTTTTTATTTTTTTTTTTTTTTATTTTTTTTTTTTTTTATTTTTTTTTTTTTTTATTTTTTTTTTTTTTTATTTTTTTTTTTTTTTATTTTTTTTTTTTTTTATTTTTTTTTTTTTTTATGTACATAGTACATGTAGTCCAAAGATGACATTAAAGACTAATTCTACGCAGTATCATTAATATTAATTATTCTCAATTATTATTTAATTTTTTATTCATTTATATATTTATAACTACTATATGTATTATATTATTATAGAGTAAAAAATAAAAAGTCTACGGGAACGCCGTTGATTAAAGTTTTTTATTTTTATTAGTTAAAATTTGAAATTAAATCTAATTTTTTTTATATTTTATATTTTTTTATACTAAATTACATTGATACATAATTTCATTAAAAAAATTTAAATAAGTTGGTACATGGCTCTAATCGTACATGAAAATTAAATGTATGTAATTAATTTTTTAGTACGTATAAAACTGATTTTTCTACTCTATGTCTATATTTAATGACTAATTTCTATTTTGATGTACATGTTATTTTTGACAATTTTAATTATTTATAAAAATTATATGATAATAACTAATAAAGGTCACAAAAGTCTTTATATATATAAAAAAAATATCTTTAAAATTATCACGAAATTACAATAATTATGCACTAGCCATGTGCTACTAAAGGAAGACACGAAAAAAACATGAAATGTCTTCTCTTTCACTAGATATATATAAGTCTAGAAAAAATAGTGTAAGTAGGTTGGTTAATTTAATTAATAATATTAAATTATTAACAATATAATTTTTTTCTAAAATTATCTTTAATATTTTTAAAATAATAGTATTTTTCTTCATTATATTATTTATCATCTTATTAATGTTTGTAAACTGTGTTTAATTACTTTCTAAGAAAGAAATAAATTGTTTTATTAATTATTTATATTTATTATTTTTATATAAAAACTTATTAATCATTAATGAAAATATTTTTAAAAATTAATTGATTTCTATATATTAAATGTGGATGACTATCTTATGGAAAATCAATTTTATAGAATATTTATTAAGTATAAATATTTTTACAAATTCACTTTTATATAATTTTATTTTATATTTATGAATTTAATTTTACTATTTTTAAAATAAATTACTATTCATTATAAATTATTTATTTTAAATATAATTTATATGTTAAAAAT